CTGCTTTTGTCTTACAGTACGCTTATCGGTCAAGATTTGTCCTACTCCTCGGCTAAATTTATAGTGTATGAGGTCACTTAAAACTCCTACCTTTGTTACGTAAGGGACAGTGATTCATTCATGGAATCTGATCGCGCTGCGATGCTGCGGATGTTTTCTCCAGAACCAAACGGGTCATACGCACGCTGGTATTTAGGTGCAAGCTTCAACATAAGACAGAAATTGATATGTGCACCTGAATATATCAGAGACTTTTGATCATCGTTTTTTGAACCAAACTTTTTAATGTGCATGAAGGAGCTCCTTGGCTGTACCATGCTCTTGGCCACAAAAATTTCGCGAGTGGAATAAAATATTAAACTCAAGACTGCTGCATTTTGTTGATTATATTCTCAAACCAAAAGCCACCCTGATCTATCTTTACATATTTGCAGCTCACCAAAATTTCATTGTCCGCCGACTTTAACATACCCCTGTCGGAAAATTTCTGATGAAATATTTTCCCAGCATCGCTGGGACCCCGGGGTGACTAAATGCGGCTCAAACGTTTGGGCGGAACGCAACTACCTGGTTGTTCTAGTCTATCATGGACAGGTCGTAGATTTCAAAAATTCAGTTCCATTGTGCCAATACTTAACACTTTGTGACGGTACCCCCCACCGTCCACTTAAACACGAGTCACGTGGTCACCTCCTGCAAGCTAGTTCAGCGTGGTCTGATGATAATTTTTCCCTTTCGAGTTCCGAATATCTCAATTCATTTGAAAGATAATCCCACCCAAACATAAAATTCACGATTGCCGAAGTTGGCCTGAAATCTATATAATGCCACCAAAAAAAGCTTCACAGAATGTACATCATCGATTCCAGATGAGTTTTCGGGAGGCAACGGGCTTTCAGGCTCAACAGGGACAAAAGAACTTGAAGTGAATACCAAGGTTATTTTTACAGTTCGGCTAAACGCCTCCATTCAGCCGTTTATACCAATCCATTACTCATGCCCATACATAAGTACACCAAGAGAAACTATATGTACATATGGGGCATTATACCTGGTCCTTTTTGCAACACCCCGTGCACCCACAAGCGGTAGCATTAAGTAGTTTATCTGTAGGAATTAGCCACCGTGGGTGAAGCAGGTTAGTTGCCCAGGGAACAGATTTGTGTCAGATATTTACCATGATCAAACGAGGCCAAGAGTTTCATGCAGATGCACCAATGAACGTTAGCAAAACAGCTACCATTTAGCCGGGTTCAAAAGAAAAACAAAATTTCTAAATATAATAGGCTGGTGACGAATAACCAGAAAAACGTTACGTCCGAAGGGTCCGCGAGATGTGCAGGCTTCGGGACACTTGAAGACACTTGAAGTCTCACCAAAACATGAAGATCATTAACTACGAGTCTGTGAGGGGTAACCTCATTCCAACAAGATCATTCCACAACAAAAATCAGAGAGCCAGCTGAGAAAACGAGTTACGTTTTTACTTCGAACCTGCTTCCTTAAGTGCCAATATGTTTTATACTATTAAGCCCCCTGATCCATGTACAATATCGGCTCCAAAAGGCAATGAGGCGGACTGAAAACAGCGGGCTATGCACAACATTCAAATTAAGAGAACTAATGAGATGGAAATCATGCAGACGATGGAAGATAACAACGTTGATGCGTATCCCAACTGAGGTGTACAATCCACGCCGTAGAAAAGACACCATGATTGACCGTTGCCTCATTCTCGTAAATTCAGGGAATATCTTATAACATGAAAACGCACTGCACATGGAACATTTTCGTCTCCTTGATGTATATGAACGTTTGAATCGTCGCGTCTGGGTTCTTCTCGTGATAAAGTACAATAGCAGGGTGGTTTAATAAATAAACTACGGGGAGCTTGATCTGCGCTTAATAGAAAGTTAGTCATACCGACCACCACAAGCGTTGCATCAAACTGGTAACCGCGGGAATTGACTACGGTGGTAGTGGAACGCTCTTCGAATTATCAGAAACAAGCTCTCTGTTCTCGGATGTTCCTCAAAAGTTTGGCATATCAAAGCTTGTGTGGGTGAACAAACGTAGATCTTAGCGTATTTAGCGTACTTAGCGATCTTAGCGTACTGGCCCAGGGAGATGGTGCCAGCTATGATTCAAATTACTGACCTGGTGTGAGACTACCGGTCACTGACGCCACAGGCACTGGATGATGGTGTCCATAGCCCCATGACAAGTTTAGTTAGGCTTAAAAGGCGGAAAAACTCCATATAAATGTAGAGGAACACACCCGTTGTAACGCCGCTACTACGAGCATTTGAATTAACATGGCAGAAAACGACCAATACCAGTTGTTTTGACGCACGATGTCACGTCTCGAAACCACGTATGTTGTAGACTGTGACGGAGCCTTTTACGGACGGTGTTTCCTTCGGGTGGATAGGCAGAAAAAAGGGCGTACAAAATAGCCCCAACTTAGAATAAGTTCTGGACACTAAAGGTGTGAACAGTGAGTGCTGTAAGGCGGGTTTCGAATGGATTTGGACGGATGCGCACGGATTGCTAGTTAGGACCACAAAGAAATGCCTGTCACAATCACAAGCTAAAATTAACCTTGCTCAACCTAATTCTTATTTTTAGCAAGCTGCCAGCGATCCCAAGGGCCGAAAGAACTTGCATGTGCTTACCAAATCAGTGCCAACTTTATCCTCCTAATTTTCAATAAAGTTATTATTAAAACTCGAGGCGATTGGCTTGTGCTTAACCCAATGTTCCAGGGCCCCGAAAAAGCAGGATAATTTATCAAGGAGAATCAAGCTTGTCAAATTCCATGGAATGAGTTAACGTTGCTATATGATAATTTATTCTGCTCTCAATTCGGCCATGCAACTGACCATTATAGTGCCATGTTGACACTGGGGAAAGAATTTGAAAGAATTTGTGTTTGGTCTGGCCTACTGTAAAAATGTCGGGGAAGTCACCGCTAATAGCGGTTCATTAACTCTTACATCCTTTCCACTAGCTTCGATGGGACGCATTCTAGGAGAAGGACGATACGCAAGAACCTACAACAGCGTGAGATTGTTAAAAAAATGTCCGTATGCATCCAAACAATCCTGTTCCCAAGACGGAATATAAAATCGAACAGCATTCGCTTCAGCAAGCCATGGGTTATCGCTGCTGGAAATCGCTTGCATATACCTCACGTCAAATATCATTCAGTACACAAGATCGTCACAAACTAAGAAAACTGAATCTTGGAGATGGGGTCTATGTATGAGCCAGGGCATGCCTGTACCGATACACCCCCAAAATCATTTTATGGGTCAAGTTAATTCACTTTCTTCGCTTTCCATCTAGTAGGACACTGAAATAATCCACGCAACACCTTCTCGGAGGACGCAAGGGTGCGGTAAACCCACCTAAGAATCCACAGGAATACTGTGAGTCCGCAGACAAACCGCAAGTCACATCCGGCTAAAATAGCCAAACAAGAGACCAACATTAACCCACTCGCATTTTACGAGGTGTGGGCCTCCAAAGGCGGAGTACTAGTGATTTCAAACCTGCTGCATCGTGCCAGATTGGTATTACAGCGGTATATGCGACCTCTTTCTTTGTCCTTGTCAGCAAATTCCAGATGTCCCGGAGGCGGGAAGATGCAAAATCCCCTCTGTTTTTTGAGCGATCCCAAACTATATGGCTTCAAAATCGCCTCTTCAAAATATTGAGGAGGAGTTCGTCCTAAAGCAATGGCAAGTCAAACTGTTCGCGTAAATTAGAGGCCGACGCCGTGTTAACCACAAACGTTGACAACTTTGAGCCGAAGTCACGTGCCCCTTACAGGCGCATGTTCTGGAAAAGAACCTGTCGACCCTGTGGACTACTGTTTGTACCTCGATATTTAATCGTGTGTTGAGCTAGTGTACAGTAGAAATCTGGTAAACTAAATTGCAGTAGTGCTTCGCGTCAAACATAGCTGTTATTTAGCTGTTCATAACGGGAGCAGTTGCTCCGTACTAACATGCGGCCCCACCAATCCCGATTGTCCTCTCTGACACCAACGCCACACCGTTTTGCGATGCAATGTGGGTCCAAATACCGCTGCACAGGTCAAATTCTCTGATACTCGGTGCGGTATACCGTACCCCTCGAGTCCCATTGTCCTCTCACCAACGCCACACCGTTTTGCGATGCAATGTGGGTCCAAATACCGCTGCACAGGTCAAATTCTCTGATACTCGGTGCGGGCGGTCGTACCCCTCGAGTCCCCCCGAAGATGACCAATCCTCATAAAAACACTTGAGCAAATCTGCTCCAACTACCACTTCATTCATCTCCTGCTGGTAGGTGACTTCAACGCCCAAAACGCCTACTGGATGGAACTCCAGCGCGTCGAATCAGGCGGGCATTTTGCAGCGGCGCTGATTGAAGTCGTTCAGCAGAGCGCTTGGACCCAACATGTCGTTGCACCCACCGGATACCGCGCGGGACAACTACCATCCCTGCTGGATTTGGTCATCACCAAAGAAAGACACTTCGTTGACCAGGTAACAATTAACGCTCCACTGGGACATAGCGACCACTGTGTGCTGACCTTTGATTTCACTTGCTATGGGGCCAGAAATCCCGAACCTCAAACGCGGTTTCGAGACTTCTGGCGTGCAGACATCTCAGGAATGCGCATCTATACAGAACAATTCAAACCGAGGCAAGCTTCAGCAAGGGGCACATACACGACGATTTATTTTCCATGAATTCAACCATATTTCGTCCAAAAGCCAGCAGACAGTCTAATGGACGGCAGGCTGCCTAAAAAGGTTTCGGCGTCTTCTAGAAACCAGGTCACCACTTTTTTTAAAACAAATCGACAACAGGAGATGATAAAGATGAGCTGGCATTTCGTAGAGTGCGGAACCGCTGTAAATCGGAAATCCGGCAATGGAACATACGAAAATAAGCCACCGTTCTGAACCTCACTCGAAAATAACAAAAAAGTCTTGTGCAAATACATGAGAAATCACCGCAGAAAAAGCCATCCGCGCTCCCATGCAAGCGATCAACCTGTAGTATCTGAGGTTTACAGAGAACACTATGCGTGTCTATACTCAGCCGCAGCGTCTTCGTCACATCCAATCTTGTCAAGGCGGAATTACGAACAGCCTCCAACCAACTTGGTCTTCACGGCGGAGGACATTCGTCAACTCTTGCACCAGAT